CATAATGTTTATTTATTTTTGAGAGAGAAAGAGACAGAGCATGAGCGGAGGAGGGGCAGAGAGTGAGGAAGACAAAGAATCCAAAGCAGACTCCAGGCTCTGAGCTGTCAGCACAGAGCCTGATGCAGGGCTTGAACCCACAAACTGCTAGATCATGACCTGAGCTGGTCAGACATTCAACCGACTGAGCCACCCAGGCGCCCTACGAAGGATACTCTTTAGGTCAAGAAGACAAGGAATTAAAACTCTATGTAGGAATTTAATTAAGGGTGTCTCCAAACCTCCTCTCCTCAGGCCACTCTTATTTAGGCCTTCACATATTTTACATGTATGACTTCAATAGACCACTATCTTGGGGTCCAAACAGAAAAACAGAAACCACAGAAGGTATCTGAACAAGAGGAACTAAAAGCAGGAATTTGGTTATACCAGGGTTGGAAGGGCTGAGAATCTAAACAGGTGAGGGAGAAATTCACAGGAGCAGGGTCAAAGGGAGGAGCTGACATCAGTCCAGAGTCTGGAATCACATGGGGGAAGCTGAAATCATGGGAGGCCTATTTAGAAAAAAGAGAAGGAGAGAGAGAGGAACAGAGGGAGATTGAGGGAGAGAGGGAAAGGAGGAGGAAGAAGGACAGGAAGAAAGAAACAGAGTATCCCGGCTTTCTTCTGAAGCTAGGGAACAGGAATAAGAAGACAGGGAAGGTATGGGTTAGTACCAACAGACCCAAGCCTGATTTCAACTTCTAAATTATTTCACCGCCTCTCATCTCTCTCTTGCAGAATCTGTCCACCACAACACACCCGAGTGATTGAACACGCAAGCCTGATATAGTCAAGCCCTGCTTTAAATCCTTCTGTGGCTTCTACTGCATTTTGGGAAATGATCCTCACCTCCAGCCCAGCAGACAAGGTTCATCTCCCCCAGATGCCTTTAATCAAAGCAGACCAAAGCTACTGAAGTCTTCACTCTGCAAAGGCGGGTATGTCAGGCTGCAGGAAGGAGGTGGCAGGTCGTGAGCCACATCAGCCTGAAGTATGACAGAGGAGGCTGTTCTAGAAGACGATCATGGGCAGAGAGGAAGAGCACACGAGGTTGGGGCTGGACTTCAAACCACAGTCCCCGGGTTCTGGCATCCTTCATTGAGAAAGTGGATGAGTAAGAGAAAAATTCTTTCTTCACATCTCCCATGTAAATGTACACAGCACCTCTCACATTCCAGGCCTGTAATAGATACAGTACAAGGACAAAGATAAAAGTACAACTTGGGTCAAAGAACTAAGCCTTGAGTGCCATACCCAGGAGCCTGGACATTCTGCAGGGGGAGGTGACATAAGCCCTGCTGTGGGATGGAAAGCCGGCTCTCCCCCAACCTTGAAGCTTGGTCCGCAGGGGAGACAAGAAGGACCTTGTGGTACCTGCTGCCGCCCCCTGCCCAGCCTGATGGAGCAGGGCCTCTACCAGTCCTGACCCAAACCCCGTACCCCCTGTACTGCTCTCTCGAGGCTGAGAAGTCAATAAATTCATTTTCTCCCAGAAAGAGTGTGTCTTCAGGAAGGCCCTGGGGAATATGTCTGCAAAGTTTAATTTCTGTTGAAGGATCGGCAAAGAATATGGAAGGAGGGGGAGCGTGAAGAGGCGCTGAAGGAGCAGACATCTGTTTGCTGGGAACTTAACTTGCACGGGGACTTTCTAGGTGCATAATCTCATTCGATGCTTGCAACAGCCTTCTGAGGTGGGGGATACTGAGGGCTGACTGGAACCTGGAAGGGATCAGGGACACCCTGTGATCTCCGATATTTGATTCGTTCGACAAATAATCAAGTGACTCGGGGTGCTGGGCATCGACCGAGGTGCTAGGGACCCAGCAGTGCACATGACATCATCCCTTACCTCAAAGATTTTTCCGTCTCGCATTAGAAACAGGCATATTGACAGGCCTTTAGAGCTCTTTTTCCAGTGCATTAACCTCCATTCACGTTTCTGCCTGATCACCTCCAGGAACCAAGAGACTTTACCTCTCAAGAAACCAATCAAACATCCTTAAACATAAAATAACTATTTCTTTTCCATGTTCATTATGTCTTAAAAATCCAGATGCATCTTACAATTGATATAGGAATTAATATAGCTGATTTTTTCCTTAACAGAAAAAACAAAGAATACAATGTTATTCAATCAATGATGTGGGTCGATAGAGTCTTCAATCTGGGTAAGCATGGAAAATGTTTATAACTGAGATACGAATACCTCCCATTTGGGAGGCACTATGTAAAGTGTTTGGGGTGGGGGAAGTTCTGGGGGATAAACTTTACAACCCCTCTTTCTGATGGTGTATTAATGCATGACTGTTTCATAAACATGATCTTAAACACTGTCCCATGTGAGTTAATTAAGATCATCATGAAAAACAAGCAAAAAAGAAATCTACTCCTTAATGTTATTTAATATGAACATGTAACACTTGGAGGAGGAAGAGTGTAGATCAATCCAGACTCCAGTCTCTGACCAAAGGCTCAGTAAAGATGGGAATGTGGACACACATGAGGAATTGCGTCTATGGCATATTCAACAAGAGAACAACATAGACCATCACAAAATACTGTTTTTCCTTTTTCATTTGTTAAGCCACAATCCCACCTGAAAACATTTCAACTTCTTCCTTTGTGAAACCAAAATTCAGATCCGTGTAACTTACGCAAATTCCCCTAACTTCTTAGTCTGAAGACCGAGAACAATATCCAGGTTTAAAAAAGATGCAGAATGCCTTCCAACTTCCCTCTGAGATAGTTCTAAATTAAGTGCAGTGGAAGGAAATTTAGATGAAACACCTTGGGTGCTTTTGCAGAAAGGTTAACCACAAGGCTAGGTGCATGACTGGAAACGACGTGGCTTCAGAAACACACCAGGTAGGTCCATCAGAAGGTAGAAAAACCACCAGGCCAGGGGAACGGGGGAGACCTGACCTGAGTAAGCTTGTGACAGGCCTCCTTCTCTCCTCTTCTAAATGAGACAAGAAGGAATGTGATTTAAAAAAAAAAAAAAAAAAAAATCTCAGCCCTGGGGATCTCCAGGGGACATTTGTTTTGATGAGATTTCAGGCCTGATTTTCAAGAATAAGGAGGTGCTAAGTATTTGTAAAAGCACCTAAAATAGCATGACCTCTGGCCCTTAGGAGATTTATCTTTTATTTATACAGAGTAGTTTTAAAAATATGTTATTATAACAAAGTAGTAACTGAGAGGCTTCCTGTAAAAGGCAACACAATGTTTCCAGAACCTACATCTGAAGCAAATAGTGCGTGATATTATCACAAAAATGAGAAGGATAGGTAGAAAATTTCAGTCAGTCACTTCAGTACACATTTAATTTGGCACTGCTGGGCCACAGGGAAGGAGAATCTGAACACAAGCCATTGTCATCGAGGAGCCAGCCGTCCGGAGAAGGAAGCTGACTTGTAAACATGCAGAGCTCAGCTTTGAGTGACACGAGGTGGGGAAAAGGAACCATGACACAGGGGAAAGATGAGTAGCTGCCTCCCTGGTGGGATCAATTAAGGCTTTCCCGAGAAGGTGGCTGGTGTTTGGGCTAGAGAAAAAAAATGCATCCTCTTAACCTCCCATCGGTACTAACGTATTAGCTATTTATAGCTGCATAACAAATTACCATGAAATTGAGTGGCATAAAATAAAAATAAACATTTATTATCTCACATATTTTCCAAGAGGCAGGGATCTGGTGCCGCTTCACTGATGGATTCTGGTGCGCGAAGTTTGAGGACATTAGATTCGGGATTGGGCCAGCCAGGGTGCAGCTCTCCACAGGCTTGTCTGAGACCTCAGATCTGCTTCCAAGGTGGCGTGCTCGCAAGGTTGGTGCTGGGTGCTGGTGGGAGGCCTCAGTTCCTTATCTTGCAGGCCTCTCCATAAGGCTGCCTGAGTGTCCTCGAGCAGGGTGCTAGCTTCCCCAGAGCTAGGGAGCCAAGAAGGAGCTAGGCCTCCTCAAAAGGTATTGTCTATGATATCCATAATATTCTGTTGACCACACAGGTTGGCCCTATTCCTTGTGAGAGGGAACTATGCAAGGGCCTGGTTACCAGAGGTAAGAATGATTAGAAGCCATCTTGGAGCCTGGCTACCACAACTAACCATGATGCCAGTTTGTGGTTATATTCAGTCTATAATGATCGGGGATGGGAGTAATGGAGAAATTTGGGTTTTTTGTTTTTGGGGAGTTTTTTTTAGTTTATTTTTGAGAGAGAGAGAGAGAGCATGAGCAGGGTAGGGGCAGAGAGAGAGAGAGGGAGACACGGAATCTGAAGCAGGCTCCAGGTTGCAAGCTGTCAGCAGAGAGGCCGAAGCGGGACTCAAACCCACCAAGTGTGAGATTATGACCTGAGCTGAAGTGGGACCAACCGACTGAGTCACCCAGGTGCCCTAGTAACATGAGAAGTTTGTCCAGTGATCAGTTAACATCAGACTTTCAGATCAAATAAGCCTTGGTTCAAATCTGGGCCCCATCATTTACTGGCTATATGGCTTCTCTGATGTTTGGGAGATAAAAGGATCTGGTAAAGCCATATTAGAGAGATGGAAGCCATAGGCTGGAATGAGCCCAACCACACCCAGCTGTCAGGGATCACTTCCCTGTGGACTGTCATGTGAGGAAGAAGTAAATTCTCCTGTACTTAAGACACTGTGTTTTTTCTTTGTCATAAGAGCTTCACCCATACCTTAATGTATTCGTTGCTACAAAAAGTTTAACCTCTGAATCTAATTTTCTTCATCTGTGAAGTGGGAATAGAAAAAACAAACCTCACATTTTTCTTGTGAAGAAAAATAAAATAAGGCATGAAAGAGTTTGTCCAGTGTCTGGTCCAGAATCCACACACTCGTCATTGTCACACTTCTGTTTGAATTTGTGATCCGTGTCAACACACTGATTCAGCAACTGTGTGTCTCCATCCACAACAGTGTCTCCCAGGGAATTGAGAACCATTTTCTTTGGAGACTCCTTTAATGGGAACTCAGTGGGATTTAAACAAACAAGGCAATGGCTTCACAGAAAGATTATTCAGCGACTGGTTTGGGGCCAAGATCTGCCATGAACATCTTGTTCTCTCTCGTCCTCCATTCCCAACTCTGGAAAATAAAAGGGAGAGAAGGAAGAAAAGAAAGAGAGGCAGGGAGGGAGGGAAGATACAAGATCAATAGTTCTTGAATCCCAAGTGTTCCAGAAAGCAACCACAGGAGCTCTGCTATTTCCTGTGTTACGTATTTGGTTCTGCACAGCATTTTGCTGAGGAAAGTGTTTTACTCTACAAATAAGTTTGCAAACCACAGATGGACGAGATGATCTACAAGGCACTGTCGGGCTCTACGAATCTTTCCTAATCCAGTAGCAGGCACTTCTCCAGCAATAACTCCTGCTTTGAATCAAAGAATCCCCCTACTTCTTATACTCGTAGGGGCATGCTGTTTGTCCCAAATGAAATTAACAGAAGATAGTCGGTATTTGACACGAGTCCACCGATGGCTTCCTGAGCCAGCTGAATGTAGGCAACACAGCTAGTCTGAACCACGCCATCTAGTGAACAAACCGGGCAGCAAAGCCTCCTCTACCTCTTATAAGTTCAAGAGGGGCTGAGAAGCCTCCTTCTAGATGCAGTGGCAGCTTAAATAAAGAATTAAAATGAGGAAGTGAATTAGAATGCTGAAATGTCATCTCCATCCAATGCCCTGGGCCTGAAATGATCAAAACTGTCATTTTATTTTTCTCCTCTCTTAAAATGACTAGTTTTAATTTAATTTCTCTTACTGAAGTTTCTCTGGCCAACTCATCAAATTTTCTATCAGAATTACCCATTTGTATGCATGGGCTGACAAGATGGGTCACATCCAAATGAAAAGTAAAAACTAAATAAAATAAAATAAAATAATAAAATAAAACCTCCCTCCACCCATACAATAGATAGAAGAGAGGGAGGTGGATATGATGTACCATGAGTCCTGCCACATGTTGGCTAAATCCTTGGCTTCCCTCTTGATGGTGAGTGTCGCATAGCCACGGTCTCAAGCCATGTCCAGTTTTTCTTGCAGAGGCTTTTCCTTGGAGGACCAGGGTCTGATGCCAACACTTCTGTGTCCCATGGACCTTCCTCTGCAGGTGAATCTGCCTTATGAATGAACAAGTAGGGCAGTTCTGGATGCATCTGGAAGTCCCAGAGCGCATAACAAAAAAGAAGTATGATATTAAAATAGAGTTGAACATGATGATGTCCTTTCAGAAATAACAAGATATACATAGTCAGTTCAATTAAATACATTTGTTTATTGTAAGGCACTTTGCTTGAGGCAGGGGTGGGAGTAGTGAACACAAGGTGGTCAGAGATCAGTGAAAGAAGTCTAGGCTTCAAGGTCAAGTCTTGGGTATTTAGAGATTTCTAGGCATATAATCAGTAGATGATCTTGTCCAATAACGACTTCTCTAAGCTCCCATTTCTTTATCTGTAAAACAGAACTTATAACAGTCTCCTTCTCTGAATTCTTTCTGGAATGGTGTGAGGTCTAAGAATGAAGTGACTGAGGTGTGGGACCTCGTCCATGGTAATCCTGTAATAAAACACTGGTCACCTTGCCCCTGGAGTTGACAGTCCCCACCCTGTGAAATCGTCCCCAGTGTGGCAGCTCACTGGGCATGCTGAGAAGTCAGGAAAGAGCCAAGGAAAATGTTGGGGAGAAGCGAGGAACTGGTGGGTCCCAGCTATGGTGATGTCTGCACCCATGTTACAGTAACATAAAACATTGACTCATGCTGCGCCCTGATATTGGAAGCTGTCACCCAATGCCTGGACATGCAGACACTCAATAAATGCTTTTAGAGTTCATTAGAAATTGCTGTTATTTGTAAACTGGATCTTTGCATAAAGCTTTAGATTTATTAAGTGCTCCAATTCAATCATAAAACATATATTTTGCATTTAATTTGTACAGGCATTGGGCAAGGACCGTGAGCAACAGAGATGAACCAGGGCCCTTGACCTCAAAAGGCCCACAGTCAGGTGGAGAAAACATGTCACAAAACAGGAGTCCTCTTCCAATGGGCTTAATACCATATTTGCAGTGAGAAGAGAGCAAAGATGGAAATAATCATACCTAAATCCACTGAGGCTTTCCAGGGAGCATGTACTTTGAAGAGCTGATGGAGCAAGAGACTTGAGGGCACATGAGGAAGCTCTTGCAGCCAGAGGGAACAGAGCATGCAAAGGGATTAAGAACCTGTCCGGTACCCTTGGGGAAGAGCCACAGAATCAGGGGGACTGGAATCAACAATGCAAGAAGTTTCTGGTAACCAAGATGAGAAAGTTCGCTGAGTCAGGAGCTGAAGGAAGGCCCTCAGGAGGAGAGCCCAGGTGACCTGGTGCCTATCACGGCTCCCAAATGGTGAAGTGGTCTGTTCTGACTGCAGGTTTGGTTTCTATTACCTGCCACATATACTGTCTCCAACAACTGTATGGCCAGGTGCCCAGCAGTGACTCAGTAAATGGCCAGGGTGGCCAAGTGAATAGAGTCCATAAAATAAGTAATAGGACATCTTTGTTAGCTGATTTGCACAAACTTACACAAATACGTTGTTGTGCTTTGGTTGAGCAGATGCTAGGAAACATGCAAAACAAAAATAAGAGTTCCTGGGGCATTTTCTCATCATGTACAAAAAGAATCACCCGAAAGCTTATTTTCAGAGAAACCAAGTGTGGGACCCAGGGCTCTGAATTTCTGGGTCTTAGAGAATCAGGAGAAGGTTGAGGACTTTTAGCTCTCTCCCCGATGCCTGCGGGCCGCAGGCTCCTGGGCTCCATCCCCAGTGATGGATGGAGAGGTCACCCTTCGTGGCCAGCACACAGACATCTGTCCCCAGGCAACAGACAGAGCTGCTTCCTGGATTCTGTCCATTCTCTACCATGTTAGGAAATTCATCTTGAGAAAGCACATTCCTTCTGAGTTCACCCCATGATTAGCATTCTGTACCAAAAAAAAGAAGAAGAAAAAAAATAACCTCGAAGATGAAATTTCTTCTTGTGCCTCTGCCCAACACAACTCCAGTTGGTTTTCATTTATTTCAATGTGTACTTTGGAATCCGAGCCCGAAGCTTTCCCAGTTAATTCCCGCCACCTGGGGTATATTATGGGGGGAGGTGGAGGGATAGGGGCTCTGGCTTGTCCCCTACTCCCACCTCTTTCTCCACATTGTAAAAACAGATTGTTAAAAAGGTGGCCTCCATGTGCACAGAGTGAGACGGGAAGAGAGTGAACCCTTTCTGCTGTGCACTGTTAAGCAAACGGCTCGGGGGCCATGACCACCTTCAGCCAGGAATTGCAATCCCGAGGGCCAGGCAGGGCGATGGGTCCCTGAAACAACCCCCTCTGTTTGGATCACTTTTTGGGGCAAGTCTAATCAAGATGGGATGTGTGACTCCAAACCAGCTGGGAAGCATTACAGGTCAAAAGTTTAAATCAAGTTAAGAACCGTCGGAATGTGCAAGCCCTGCCATTTCTAATCTCTGCCTCTTCCTCTAATCTGCACAATTGTGGACAAAATGTCTTGGCCTGGCTGGTGTTGACACATGGGCTCAGGAAGGTACATTCGTGAAGGCAGGGCTGCAGAGGCTGTCGGAGAGGTAGCTTATGTCCTTGCGGACTGAGGAAGGGGCCGGCCCCAGGTGTGAATGTAAACAAGGGGCATGTAGAGTCAAAACACTGATGCTGAAAAGATCATTGCAAATCACTCAAACGTATTTATAACAAGTGTGAAAATAGGCCCAGAGAGGTTAATGTCCAGCTCAAAATCACACAGCACTTTGTAGCTATGCACTGGAAGGGTAAACATAGTTAGATCATGCTACACCCCTGCTCCAAACCCAGTGCTTCTGCTTGCCATTGAGATGAAATGAAATTTCTCTGGTCTGTGAGGATTGGGGTGATCTGGCTCTTCCCTGCTGCTCTGTTTGCTGGGACCACACCCCACGTTTTCCACCATCCTCCTAGCATATTAGTTTCTTCTTGGTTCCATAGATTCATGAAATCCTTTCCCACTTCGGAGTTTGGGGACTTGCTATTTCTTCTTTCTAGAGGATAAGCCCTCTATTTCTCTCTCAACTAGTAGGTGAAACCCCACTTTCTTAGCAAGGCCTCCGTGAGGAAACCTGTCCAGAGTCACCCCCCTAGAAGTCCTCAGCTGGCTCATGTCCTTCCTGGCCTGATGCCCCATGATCTTCCCTGTTTGTTACTCAGTGACGATTAGCCACTTGTTTGAGTATCAGTAGTTGAAGGTAGACACCTTGTCTCTTGTGCTGTTATATCCTGGAGTCCAACACATGACAGCTGTCCAATGTGCATTTGATTAACAGATTAATCAATCAGCCAGCTAGACAATCCAGCAATTCACAGACAGGCTCTCACTGTCTCCTCAGTGATTAAGTATTGAGATGTGCGGAGATTAAAGATGGCCACAGGTGGTGTTGAAGAGCAACATGGTCTATGTCCATCTCCTTGATTCCAGGTGGATTCTGTGACTGGTCGATAGAAGAATGTCAGCAGTGGCCTGTGTCACTTTCCAAGCTTTAAGACACTGGCAGTTTCTTTCTTTCTTTCTTTTTTTTTTTAATTTATTTATACATTTTGAGAGAGAGAGAGTGCACAATGGAGGAGGGGCAGAAAGAGAGGGAGAAAGAGAATCCCAAGCAAGCTCTGTACTGTCAGTGCAGATCCCAATACAGGGCTCAAACTCATGAACTGCGAGATCATCACCTGGGCTGCAGTTGGATACTTAACCGACTGAGCCACCCAGAAGCCCCAAAGGCAGCTTCTATTTTAAAGTGCCGTGGGCACCCCTGAGCTGCCATGTAAGTAGTCCAGGTACCCTGAGATGGCCACCATCCTGGAGAGGCCACTGCTCCAGTTAATAGTCCCAGCTACACCCACCCTCCCAGCCATCTCCGACTGGAGGCATCAAGTAAGTGAATGAAGTCATTTCAGACACCCTCCCCCTCCCCCAAACAAGCCCAGCCACCAGGTGAATACCACTAAGTGACCTTAGCCAGTGCCATAAGGAACAGAAGAAACAACCGGCCAAGCCCAGCCCTGCCTGAATTTCCAACTGCAATTAAGATGGGTGTGGCTTCGGCTATTTAACTGTAGCTGGGAAATCTGGTTATATCCTTTAAACCGTTCTTTGTCCATCGGTTGTCTTCTTTTTTCCTTTTCCTTTCCCCTTTTTGACCCTTTTATGTATTTTATATTCCCTATTATTCGCCCTCCCTCCTCCATCTTTTCTCTTAACTTTTTCGTTTTCCCTCTCGCTTTGCATGTTAGTTGAATTAGCCTGTGCGTTTGTGTGCTCCTGCTCCCTGTGTGTTTGTCTGTCTGTTTTCTTTTCCAGGGCTACCTCAAGAAACAAGCTAGAGTGCACAAGGTGGAGAGTCCCAAATATCACTACGAATAGGAAAATAAAATAACCAAGGTCCCAACAAGAGAGACCAGGGGATACCATTCAAAAAACACTCTCTGAAAGGGTAGGCCCTGGAAAGTCAAAGAGCCTTCTTGGATATAGCAGTGCTCATAGAAACAGAGAGAATAATAGGTCTTTAAAACCAACAAGAGCCGGAAAGCTAACTAAAATGACGAAACGAAAGACCTCTCCTCCAAAGAAACTCCAAGAAGAAATGACAGCTAATGAACTGCTCAAAACAGATATCAGCAGCATCACTGAACAAGATTTTAGAATAATAATGGTAAAATTAATAGCTGGGCTTGAAAAAAACATAGGGGACATCAAAGAAACTATGGCTACAGACAGAATGGAAAATAAAAATAGGCATGAAGAATTAAAAAATGCGATAAATGAGATCCATAATAAATTAGAGGCCTCCAATGCACGGATTGAAGAGGCAGAAAGGAGAATAAGTGATTTAGAAGACACCATTATAGAAAAACAAGAAGCTGACAAAAAAAGAGACAAACTGATCCAGGAACAGGAAAGAAGAATTCGAGAGCTCAGCGATACGGTCAAACGCAACAATATCCGTATCATAGGAATCCCAGAAGAGGAAGAGAGAGGGAAAGGTGCTGAAGGAGTCCTGGAACAAATTATAGCAGAGAACTTCCCCGACCTGGGGAAGGAAGTAAATGTGGAAGTACAAGAGGCTCAGAGGAC